CTAATTTTGTATTTTTTAGTAGAGGCAGGGTTGTTCCATGTTGGTCAGGCTGGTCTTGAACTCCTGAACTCAGGTGATCCACCCGCCTCAGCCTCCCAAAGTGCTGGGGTTACAGGCATGAGCCATCATTTCTATTGTGTTTAACAGAAATTTCTCTCAGTGGATTGTGGAAAGGAAAAAAGTAATTAGTTCTTCTTCACAGTTTGAAAAGTACTGTTCTAGTTGGTGTAGCAGGAGATGGTATATTGTTCTTGATTAAGCTCCCATGTCTCTTAATATAATGTATACTGTTTACCAGTCTCAAGGATAGCATGAGCTTTGTCTGATTTTTACTATTTTGAGAGTCTCTGGTGATCACATGGATTTAAGAAAGATAACAATATCTGTCGAATACTGAATCAGAAGAGGGGTCAACTTTCAAGTTAGTTCCAACTTTCACTTTGTCACTATGTTTATTATAAGTTAAATAACTTAAATATTTATTTAAAATAACACATTCATTTTCTATGTTCTCCCTTTTTGTTTTATTGACTTAATCACCCCCGTTCTATCTTAGGTCTGTGGAAAGACTTTTATCTATAAGCATGGTCTAAAATTACACCAGAGTCTCCATCAGTCACAAAAGCAGTTCCAATGTGAGCTGTGTGTTAAGTCATTTGTTACCAAACGGAGTCTTCAAGAACATATGAGTATTCACACAGGTAACGAGAAATTTATATTGACATAGTTATATTTCATAAACTATTAAATTATAATGATTATGCTTTAATTATACCAGAAATTATGTTGATAAACTGATAGTTGTGTGTGCTCAATTTTGTATTGAGAAAGTATTTAAAATCTAAAAGCATTTTTTTTAACTGCTGCATTTTCTTAAATCTGGTTTTACAGCTGTGTTTGTGTACAGAATATTCATTGTTTGCTTCAATGTAGAAAATGTGCACTAAGTGTTAAAATCGGCATAATTTAAATCTAGGCATAAAGAAATGATCATGCTTTTAAAAAATTAAATGATAGGTAGACATAATTGTCAGCATAGGAGTTGGCTTATGTTTTTTGTCCATATTTACTTATTTTTAGATGCTTTAAAGCAGAAATGTGGGAATAGCCAATGAAGGGTAGATATCTGGTGCAACTTGTATTCAACTCTATGACTATCACAATCCATAGGTCATACAACTGTGTCACATTTCTTGGATTGTAGCCTCTGATAGTACTATAGTTGTTGAGAGGAAAGGGGGATTTTGACATGGTTTATTGTTATTCTTAGATGTCTGCCAAATGTTACAGCTTCCATGTGCCTTTGGTAAAATAACTTCTGAAATATGACATAAAGAATTCTGTTAAAAGAGGACTGATGGCTGGGTATGTGACAGGGTTTTAACTTTTTTAATAGGAGAGTCCAAGTACCTTTGCTCAGTTTGTGGGAAGTCTTTTCATAGGGGTTCTGGACTCAGCAAGCACTTCAAGAAACACCAACCAAAGCCTGAGGTTCGGGGCTATCACTGTACTCAGTAAGTATGCAATATGTGAGGCGTTCAGTTAATTTAATTATGTTTTTACTCAGTTTTCAAAAAAAAATTGAAGATATTAAACTGTAACTTCAGTTGCCTCTTGATTTTAAAGTCCTTTTTTTCTTGCCTAAGTGTTACTATTTTTAAACATCTTTGTGAGGTAAATTATAAGCCATACACATCACTCATTTAATGTGATTTAAGGGGATTTTCAAATGTACTACCTGGAGGTGGGGACTGTGGAAAGAAGGGTCTCACTAGCAGCCAGTTTCTTTCCCCCACTTGTCTTCATTTCCAGAGCCTCCTAAAATCTCAGTTATAATCGAGGTAAAATTCATATAGCATAAAATTAATTGAGCCAAGCACAACAGCTCAAGCCTGTGATCCCAGCACTTTGGGAGGCCAGGGCGGGAGGATCATCTGAAGTCAGAAATTTGAGACCAGCCTGGCCAAAATGGCGAAACCCCGTCTCTACTAAAAATACAAAAATCAGCCAGTTGTGGTGGCGCATGCCTGTAGTCCCAGCTTCTTGGGAGGCTGAGGTGGTAGAATCACGAACCCGAGAGGTGGAGGTTGCAGTGAGCC